GAAATACAAATCAGAACATAATACTGTACCTTATAAATACGCACAAATAGTACATGTTAAGTGTCAATCAAAAAGGTTAAAAGTGACATAAACACAGAGACAAAAGAACACTGGACTGCTTGTTCCCTTGAGGGGAACTGGGACAGGGTGAGGTGGATGGAGATGGGATGAGGCAGAGTTCCTACCCATAGAGGGGCTGCTGAGAGAGTCCTCAAGGGGCTCTTTGGGAGGGATCAAGGGTTTCTTGCCCTTGGCAGGTACTGCGTGGAACAAAGCTCTCTCCTCTGCACTTGTGGGATCTGACCCTGGCTCAGTGTGAAGAGCCAAGCTGGGCAAACCAACAGTGAGATTTCAAGCTTAGGCTACATATCACCTACCCCTGACCCTTATCCTATTGCCAGCAAGCATGTGGCAGGGAGTAGAGACTTTTTTTTGTCACATTCCTATGAGAGGCATCCCCAGGGAGCCTCCTCAACCTTATTTTTGCTGAGAGGTAGGGTGGGTAAAGGAGCACCCCACACAGTGACTCCAGAGCCAGTCACCCCACATGTTGGCACCCAGCTCAGCCTTGCCAGCTTCCTGCAGGTAGACACCCTCACGTTGGAGCTGCTGATTCCCTGCCCTTCATGCCTGGTATGCTTGGATCACAGAAAGCAGTGTGTGAAGGGGGTTGCCTCTAGAGCGGCCTCATTCTCCGCACTCTGGCTTGCGTTTTCCCGACTGGTGGAGGAGTTGAATAGGTTCCAGCCCTGGAGGGTGGTGAGGTGGGCATAGCTGTGGAGAGGGGGCATCAGAGGAGCAAGTCTCATGTTTGCTGCCATGGTGAGTGGCCACTGAGGAGTGTGCTCACCTGTAAAACTGGTGCACTCGATCTACCAGGCCAACTAGGAATGCTCCCTATAAATGAGGACCCTGAGTAGCACTTCGTTTAGGAAATAACACTGGCCTGGTGGAGAAGAGGTGTTCAGAGAGGTTTCCAGCTCATGGAGCCTAAGCCTATATCCGGCTCAGAGGTATTGGCATCTGCCTGGATCCTTTCTCTCTCTAGGGAATCAGAAGGCACCTTAGGTCCACATTTGGCCCTTCCCGGTTGGACGGAGTACAGGCAGTACTGGGGTTAGTTTACCAAGACCTCTTACTGAGAATCTGGCACTAGAAGTTTTATTTCAGGTAGTTTGGAAAAGCTACCAGGGATGACTATTCATAAACAAGGTGTGGAGCCCCTAGGGCCAATCTCTAGGCATGTTGAAGATCCAAGCTCAGAGGTCAAATGACCCAGGCTTTGGGGTGTAGTTTTAGGAATAGGAGGAGAGGAAGTCAGGGCTGAGTAAGCAGAGCCCAGGCCACAGGGAGGGGGAGGGGCACACTGCAGCAGCCCAGGAAGGCGGAGGACAAGATGCATCTATCTCATTTCACGAGACCCTGGGGTCCCAGGCCAGAGCCAGTGTGCGACAAAATCCTCTTCCTTTAAACATAGTCAGACCAATCAGGGTACAGCTGGGTGAGATGGCATCAAATCAGCCTGGGCTCTCAGAACACCTTGCAATCCAGTAGTTCAAGGTCTTCACAGGGTATGGTACACCTCCTTATTTGTATTTATCTTCCCCAGGATCCCAACATCCATGATCATTAGCTTCTTAGGCCTAGTGCCCTGCACTCAGTCAGTCAGTCCTCGGGACATGAAATACGGTAGTAACATATGATACCCCAAACATGTCCAGCTCAATCTGCTATGTGCTCCATCCTCAACCCTGGAGTGGCAGTTCCCAGCTCAGACATCGTCTCTATTCCCATGAGTTTAGACTTGGGTAAAAATGAAGCCCCCTTAGAACTGAGTTCCACCAGATACCAGCTAATCTTGCCAAACTGATTTTGTTTTCTAGGCTCATTAATTTGGGTGCTTGGCCACATGCCCAGTGAGTATGAAGTCAAGATTTGTTTTAGGTCCAAACTTGGTTGCAGAGTGGCCTGGGGCTTCTACCACCCAGTTCTCTGGTTTATTCCATGGGGTGCCCATGCCCAAGAGAAACACAGAAGCAGCTGTGGGGGCCACAGGTTTTACTCAGAGGTAGGGGATGATTATGAATTTTGTACACACGAATGGGTCAAAGCGGTGGGAACAATGACTCCATAGCTGCTAAACTCATTCTGGAGCTGAAGGGAACTTGGATATGAGTGCGTGAGATAAAGCAGGAGCCTTTAGCAAGGCCCTGCCAAGCTGGGCCACAGCAGGTCATCACCCACTGCTCCCCGCTTGCCCTCTTCCCTCAATGAGAGCCAGTGACGGCGGGTTCTGGGAAATGGCTCAGAACATGCGTGCATGACACCAACTGGCCTGCATTCCCATCTGTCCCACGATCAGTATCCAAGATGAGGGCTGGCTAACTTGGAATCAACATGGGACTCTACTTTCAGGGGTTTTAGACACTGGGTCACCTCTAGGTCTTATTCTGCCAGACTCCTTTGATGTTGGGCAACTCCCTTTCTTTCTATCATCCTCAGTTTCTCAGCCTGAGGAAAAAAATGGGAAGTGTGGATTGACCTAATAGAATTCTAATCCAGCTAGGATCCCACTAAATTGTATTGTGAGCCTCCCAAAGCCCTAGGGAAGGTCAGTGTCATTTCCCTTCTGTATACAAAACAGTTCCAGAGGACTTCTTCGTGTTAACTGAAGCCATACAGCCAAGAAGCCATTCGGCTGAGATTCAGCCTCCAGCCTGTCAAGTGTTCTAGTTGAGGGACCTGAGAGCCGATGCTTTGGGCCTCCACCAACTTAGCTTCCCTGCTCCTGCCTTCCTTCCCACCCAGGAACTCAGTTCCCACTGTGATATAGGGAGCTGGGGCATGGAGGGAGCCCTGGCTGAGGCTGGGGGTGCAGCCTACCGGTAGATACAGGTGTGCTGTGCCTGGAGACAGCAAGTGAGCAAGAGAGCTGGCAGCCTGGGTTCTAGCTGTTCTAGCTGTTCTAGCTGTTCTAGCTGAGCCCAGGAGGCTCCATTTGGCTACAAGCTAAAGGAATCACTGCTCCTTGCCATCTGGGAGCCTCTCTGCCTGGCCTCCTGATTGGTCACTCTCAGAGTCATTCCCTCTTCCCCCAAATTCCTGCCCACACTTTATAGCTCCCAGGAACTGTCACCTAACACTCAGGAGCTGAGTGCAAGGCATAAGGAGAGTGCTGGAGGGATTCTGATCTCCTTTCTAATTAGGGAGCGGATTTCAAGGGAGACTTTCATCCCAGGCAATTCAGTTGCCAGCAGCCTGTGTGCTTTTGAGTTCTCGGTTGGTTGTCTCCTCAGAACCTTGGGTGGCTTTGACTCCTGCTATGACACTGGGCAAGAGAATATTTCTCTCTCCCTGGGCCTCAGTCTCCCCATCTAGGCAATAGCCAGGTGCCTGAGCCCTACGGATGTCAGGCCTCTCTCCCAGTGATGACATTTTTGGATACACTGTCATGTACTTTTCCTTTCCTCCCAGAGGCCGGGGACCGGATGGCTTGGGAGAGATACCAAGCTTAAAGATAGCTTTCCCTGTCTGGGGGTTCCCACCGGGCGGCTGCAGGTGCCCCTCCTCCCTCCATGCTCTTCCATCAGGTCCAGGCCCGCGGTAGATCGCGGCCTGGCCCTTTAGACCTGCTGTTTGGGTAACGCCAGCGAGAGAGTGAAGGAGCGCAGCGCTACAGCGGCGACTGCGGCGAACGCGGCGGCGCAGGGGGCGGGGGAGGAAAGAAGAGCCCACTTGTCCCACGGCTCCGCAGCAACCCTGGCCCTGGCCCGCCACATCATAGCGGTCTTAGGAACCCTGGGGTTTTGTTAGCGGGGCCAGAGCCAGCTGGGAGCACACCATCACTCGATCTCACAAAACGATCCCCCAGGCCCCCGCAATCCCCAACTCGGCCAGGCTAGCGCAGGTTATTCTTCGCCCCTAGCTGCGGGAGGCAGGGGACCGCGACGCTCCGACGCCTGTCTCACCCTTCCCAAGCCTAAGCGCAAGGAATCCCAGGTCTCAGGCAGAAGATCACAGCTATCCGGGCTGTTGTGGGGGTGGGGATAGGGGTAGGGGCACCATTTTGGGTCAGACGCTGATCAGATTCCTCGCCCGTGTCGGCCCTTTGGACCCCATCTCCATCGGTATCTCCAAGTTTCAGCCTCCCTGTCCCCGCCCCTTACGGGGCTCACCCCGCCAAGGGCGGCTGCAGCTCCTAGCAGCGCCCAGCCCGCAGTCCCTGCCTCCTCTGCCCGCCCTAGGGTCACCCTCCCGGTTCTGTCCAGCTGGTCCTTCCCGCGGAAGATGCTGAGAGCGCCCTAGATGCTTAAAGTAGAAGGGTCAAAGTTCGGTCACTGAAGCAGGGTGGAAGGCCCTGAACCCGCAGGGCCTCAGCAGGGGCGCGGGAGGTCAGGACGCGGCGCTCCCTCACCTGTTTCTCCGCCGGCTCCTTAGCAGAGACCCCGGGCTTGGGGGAGGGCGCGCGGTCGCAGACACAGCCCTCCAGCAGGTAGAGCCCCGAGGGCCGGGAGCTTGAGTCGCTTTCGAAGTAGAAGAGCAGATTCTGCAGCAGAGCGAACCACTTGGTTTGCCATTTTGTGTTGTCCGAACTCCGCTTGCTCAGGTAGCCTTTGCGCGTGCCGTCCTTGCGCGCCAGCAGTCCCAGGGACGCGACGTGGCCATCGTTCAGCCGGATCCCTTTCTGCATGGTGCTCGGAGGCCAGCGAGACCCCACGCGCTTACATCTTCCCCGCGCGGCACCCAGCAGCCCCTCGTCGGTGCGCGCCGCGCTGCCTCTCTCTGGCGCTCGCTGGATCGCTCCCTCTTGTTCCCCCACCCACCCCTCTCAAGATCTACACTCCAGGACCTGGCGCCGAGCTGGGGTTTCTTGAACCTAGATGGACCATTCCTTGCTGGAACCTCTTCTCCTCTCGGCAGAGCCCCGGGGCCCCGGGAGATGTCGCCCGACCCTCCCCCAGCAAACTGGGGACGGGCGGTCTGCGCGCTGGCTAGGGGCAGGCGGAGTCATGTGACGCCGATCCCTCGAAGAGCCCGTTTCAGCAGCGCGGACAGGGACACACGCACGCAGCCCCGCCGAGGCGCAGAGCCGCACGCAAGCTGCACCTTGGCGCCTCCTCCTCCCCCTCCCTGGACAAACACCACACACACACACACACACACACACACACACACACACACACACACACACGCCTCGTCCTCCCTCCCTGTCCTCCTCTTCTCCACTTCGAGTGTTCTAAACCAAATCAGATCAATTTTCGTTCAACCCAATGGAACCCCGGAGACTCACCATCCCCGGAGTTTGCGTTCTTTGCGCCCCGCCGCGGCGCACTCTAGACCTAGGGTAAGCCCCATTTGTAATTTTCTCTCCTAAAGCCTCCCCTCACCTTCCTCCGGTACTTTATTTTTCTAATCCAAGGTGGATGGCGAAAGGGATGGGATATGTACTAGTTTTTGCATAACCGTTCGGATCTCATTCCTTTCAGTTTTCAGCCTTATTCCCCACGGCTTCGCCGGCGATCTGAGAATACAGGGGTGAGGTTGGGAAGGTAGAGGTGACCATTTATTTTATTTCATTTTGAGCGTTGCCATAATTACCGGCGTCACCCGGTGAACCCTAAGGTCTGGCTGGCAAGCCGCTGCTGGGAGTTTTCAGCAAATACCCCTGAAGCCTGAAGGCGGGCTTCAAACGCAGGCGCCGGGGACCATGGGAGCCTTCAAATAGCTGCGCTGGCGCAATGATACCTTAATGATAGATTTTCCGTTCTTATTTTTAGCTCCCATTCGCCTACACAGTTACACGGCATTTATCCGAGAACGTCACAGCGCCCGCATGCTGCACCGGCAGAGCGCGCGGGCTGCCGGGCCAGCCTGGTGCTGGAGCGGGGAGCGCGCGCCGCCGTCTGCCGCAGAGGGCAGCGGCCTCGCTGAGACCTGAGACCGGGAGCAGCGCCCGGCAGCGCTGACAGTTTGCAGCCGGGACGGGTGTCCCTGCAGCCCTCTGGAGGAAGAACACCATCTTTCCTCACAGAAGCCCTTCCCCCTTTAGAACACACACACACACACACACACACACACACACACACACACACACACACACACACACACTATAATCTGGAATGGAGAGCTGTCCCTGTTCAGGGCATAGTGGTCCAGGTCCGTGTTCCTCTGTGACACTTATTTTTCTTCCGCAGGTAATCAAAAATGAAAGGCAGAGGGCTGAGCCCCTCCACGCAGCCTTGGTTTGCTCAAGAGATATCTTGTAAAAATGATTGTGATTCTTTCTACTTGTTTTCTAACTTTCTTCTTTCTCTTCACCTCCCTCTTCTCCTCCTTCCTACCAAGACCCTCCCCTCTTTTCAGATAGGATCTTGTTTTACAGCCCAGGCTGGCTTGAATTGCTGCTGATCCTCTCCCCTCAGCATCCTGAGAGAAGGCACTTGTCTAATTTCCCCTGCCTTCTCTGTGGAAGCAGAATGTCCAGGATTGGGGATTTTATGTAAATTGCTATTAGGAAGTCTCTTACAGAGGAGGCCGGGGAACGCTCTGGTAAGGGGTACTGTGCTAAGCACTTCACTCAGTTAAGCTTTTGCATCTTCTCTCAAGCCTTCAGCATAGGTTGGGCTTGGGGTCACTTGCTTACAGCTACTTTAATGGAAAGCGGCAGAGGTGGGATTTGAACCAGGTTGGGGTTTATGTAGAGCACAGTTTAGGGTTGCATAGAGGTTGGAGTTCATGGCACAAAGGAGCAGGATCGGGAGAGAGGGTATCTCTAGGTGAGCTAGAGCCAAGCTTTGGCCAGCATCGAGGTTTGTGTGGCAGGCAGATCTACAGTACATGGTTCTTCTGAACCTGGGCTGCAGGTTGATGGGTGCACTTTAACAAACAATTTTACCCTGGGGGCTTGGAGACTCACAAAGACATGGCAGAAGCAGGGATGCTGCCTTGGACACTCGAATCACCTGGGATTGTTGTCAGGTGGTACATTGTCATTGGTGGAGTTGAGCAGGGTCTGAAAAACCTGCATTTCTGACCAATCTTCCATCGATACAGCTTCCATGCTTTGCAGCTCACTTGTTAGATGTTGGGGCACTCAGGAGGTGGGAGAGAATGGGACTCACCCATTTGTTCACTCACACACACATCTTATTCTTTAGGCTGGGCTCTGGAGATACAATGATAAGGAAAACTTAGTCCTGGTCTTCTGGAGCTTGGACTAGCTTAGGAACTTCTTTGCTGTGTGGCTTCTAGCACAGCCAGAGGAAAACCCACTTTCTCATGGGGCCGAGGAAGGCATGCTAACCAAAAGTGCCAGTCAGGATCAGAATTGAGCCCATTTCAGAAGCTCTGAACTCCGGTGTGCTTTAGAGATTTAAAGTCTGTGTTCAGGCCTTACTCCGGGTCAGTGAAGTCAGAATCATGTATATCCTACTTAGAAGCATCTGGGAGGTGCCAACATGGAGCCAGGACTAATGACCACTAAATCTTGGGCCAAAAAGATCTCTGTACTGTCTCTTCCTGCCTTGGTCAGCACTGCAGCGCTGGAGTCACATGCTTTTGCTAATCCTGGGTTTCTGAGATTTCCTGGTGAGCTAGACCATGATGGAAGGGTGGCCCGAGCTCCAAGTTGCTGTGTTAGAGAGAGGAAATGGTCAATGTCTTGTCTGGCATTTTGATTACTCTTATCGAAGCTGTGTGAGTATTGTTTTTTTTTCACCACAGGCAGAAACCTGAGTTTCACCTTTGGCCTCTTGGCAGTCTTTGGACTGGAATCAAGCTCAAGGCTCCTGGAAGCTACTTAATGATTTTGGCCAAGGCAGTATCATTTATGCGGCTGGTTTCTGCTTGGCTGCTGTGAGAGGTGCTATAGAGAAGGTGGGCATATAGTGTGTAGTTATTTCTTCTGAATTGAAATATTCCCTCCTAGAGGGAGGAGGAAGGCTCATATGACCCAAGAAGTTCAAGAAACTTACCAGGCTCTTCTCTCAGTCACTGTTCTGTTGCTGTGAAGAGACACCACAACCAAGGCAACTCGTAAAGAAAGAGTTTAATTGGGGGATGGCTTACAGTTTCAGAGGGTGAGTTCATTAGCATCATGGTGAGGTGAGGAGTGCAGCAGTATGAAGGCAGGTGTGATGCTGGAGCAGCAATTGAGAGCTTTGCATTCTGATCCACAGGCAGAGAGATCAAGAGCGACAGAGCGACAGAGAGACAGAGACAGAGACACTGGGCCCAGTGTGGGCTTTTAAAAGCCCAAAGCCCACCCTAGTGACGCACCTCCTCCAACAAGGTTACACTTACTCCAACAGGGCCATAGTTTCTAATCTTTCCCAATTACCAACTGATGACTGGGTATTGAGCCCCCCACCACAGCTCTGGAAGCTTAAACCTTACAATACTCATTTCCCAGGGTTAGATGAGCAGTTACAATTGCTGGGGTGGGTGGTGGTACCAGAGGAGGAAATCTTTAGGAGAGCTGCAAGCAAGTTGGGCAGGGAACTTCAAGGATGCACCCATATTTGGGAGGGTGTAGCATGAATCTTAAAGGTACTTATTAATAAAAATCAAACCTGAGCCAGGTATTGGGGTGAATGCTGGAAGATCAGAGAAGCAGAACAAGCCACAGCTTCCTCACCTTGACAGTTCCTCAGCTGATCCTGTTTCCTCAGACTGGAAGTTTCTGATTCCTCATCCAGAATAATCTCAGCTGAACTGCTGCTTGAAAGCCTGAATGCTTAACCAGACAAATGCTTCTAGTTTCTGGTCTTCACGCCTTATATATTTTTCTGCTTTCTGACATCACCCCCTGGGATTAAAGGCTCACTTCTTGGGATTAAAGGTGTGAGTCACCATGCCTGGCTGTTTCCAATGTGGCCTTGAACTCACAGAGATCCAGATGGATCTCTGCCTCTGGAATGCTAGGATTAAAGGTGTGTGTGCCACCATCTTCTAACCTTTGTATCTAGTGGCTGTTCTGTTCTTTGACCCCAGATAAGTTTATTAGAGTGCACAATATTTTGGGGAACACAATACCACCACAGAAGGGGGCATGGGTTAGGGATACAGCTGCCTTTGAGTTACCCATGCCCTGTAAGTTACCCCAACCATCTCATTGGTTCACCAAGCTAGACTTGGGTGAAATTATTTGGTCTATCATTGCTGCCCTATCTGTAGTAAATAAATGTTAATTCATATCCCCCCCTTCCCCACCACCGCCAAAACCACACAACACAATACCTTGGCATAGCTGGTAGAAATGGGCATATTTGGAGATTAAACACACTATTCACGGGGTAAGAACTTAGCCTCTCATTCTGGGAAGGACAGGGGCTGACTAATCACAGTGCATTTGGGCCTTGCCTCAATGCACTCCACCTTCCCAATAAGATTTTTGAATAGGGGCTAATAACCTCATTTCCCTGGTGGAGAAACTGAGGACCCTACTGTGTGTGTGTGTGTGTGTGTGTGTGTGTGTGTGCGCGCGCGCGCACACACACACACATGTGCAAATGCACTCAGAGAAGTTTTGTTTTGGGGCAACATATTTAAAAAGAAAAAAGGTAGTCCGTACAGCTTTGAAAAAAAAAAAGACATTAAATTTATTGAGTCAGAGAACTTTTGGACAAGTGTCCTTGGTCTGTGGAAGTTCCAATTCTATTTTCAGCTCCATTGATGACCTTGACCAGATGCCTACTGAGGAGCAAGAGGCCTACAGTTTTAGTTTGTATTAGCCACGTTATCCTGTCTGCTTCTAAGAGTGATGAAAGCTCTTTGTGAATTAATTAATTAATTAATTAATAAGAGCCCACAAGGAATAAAGAGATAATACCACCAAAGAGTCTTCTTAAAATTTTTTTCTATAAAATCCTTTTGCTTTTTTCAGACATAAACATGTTCACCAAATGGCTTTCTATAGTATCTGATATTTTATAGGCTCAATGTCTTTCTTTATCTCATTAGAAGGCCCCAAAGTATTCTCTCTTTGTATTTTCATTCATTTTATTAATTTATTGAACTTTAATTGCATAGTCATGGTATTCCTTCTCTTTTGAGTTTTTTTGCTTATATTAAAATTTTTAAATTTGAAGATCAACTTATATTTTCTTGTAGATTTATCAGTATTTCATAAATGTATAGCCAGGGACTCCATGCACGATGCAAATAACTGCCATAGTGCCTTGCTTGTCTTATTCATCATTGTAGTAAAATAACATGTGTACTTCTTAAACAGTCCCCTTCACCCTTTTAGACAGAGTCTCTTTGCATACCTCTGGCTGTCCTGGTACTTGCTCTGTAGACCAGGCTGACCTCAAACTCACAGAGATCATATTGCCTCTGCCTCCTGAGTGCTGGGATTAAAAGTGAGCACCACCACACCTGAGCTTTACAGGGTTCTTAAGTATTTTCATTTTATCCAGCTCCAGAAAAATTTTGGCTGGAATTATATTGAAAATATCATAAGATTAATTCTTATATAACATGTTTTGTCTTCTTATGCAAAGAAGTCCATCCCTCAAATTTTTTGTCCCTAATTTTTTTTTTGGTAAAATGTTACACTTTCCGTTATATATACCTTGTAAATCTTATTTCTAGATATTTTGTGTTTAGTGGTTGCTATTGGAAACATGCCATTTTTGTGTTTTGAACTTAATTAATTTTTGTGAGATGGGGATTTGCTGCGCTGTGCAGGCTGGGCTCAAACTTGGAGACCCTTCTGTTGTGGTTTCACAGTAGCTGAGATTACAGGCATGTCCCATCACACCCGGTTTCTTACAAGTGAACATTATCTATCTATCTATCTATCTATCTATCTATCTATCTATCTATCTATCTATCTATCTATCTATCTATCTATCTTTTGGTTTTTTGAGACAGGGTTTCTCTGTGTAGCTTTGGAGCCTGTCCTTGAACTCACTCTGTAGATCAGTCTGGCTCTACCAGAGATCTGCCTGCCTCTACCTCCCAAGTGCTGGGATTAAAGGCAAGCGCCACCACCGCCTGGCAGTTATATATTTATTTTTAAGTCATTATTATGAATTGAATTTTTCTGATTTTTAAAAATTTTAGCTCATCTGTTTAAATTTGATAGTTAAGTGAGTGGAACATATCAATGTATTTTTTACCACCTAGGCATGATAGTATCTTTTGGACAAACCCCACTTAAATACAGAGTTTTTATGTTTAATTTATTTAGCTTGTCTTTTCTTGGTGACATAATTTCCAAGATCATTTGTTCCCACTTTCTAACTTATTATATTCACTACCAAATCCTATTCTAATGTTCTCCTTTTGCGTCACATCCCCATTTAACGTGCTGAGTTTGTCTTCAGGAAAGACATTTGACTTATTACGATGTTCAACCACTTATTGATTCCACTTTTTCCTAACTCATCAATACAGCTCCTGTCTTCATTATATGATTTTTCTTTCCACCTTTTGAGTGCACAGTTTTATTTTATTTCCATGATTTCTTGTTTAAGTAACAACAGTGTTTAAGGCTGGTTTTCTTTCTTGTATGAACTGATTCTGCTTCTTCCCCCCAGATCCTACAGGATTGTTTCATAAAACAAATGCAAGGGGCTTGCTGTATCAATCTCCATTTATCACTATAGTGAAAGAGACAGAAATGATTTCATCCTTTAGGTGGATAGTTACCATAGGACTGTTTCTGGGTTGTTTTTTTGTGTATGGGGGTGGGGTGGGGGGGTGAGGCAGGATCTCACTGCATGGACCCAACTAGCTTAGAACTTGCTTTGTAGACCAGACTGGCCTTGCATGCACTGAGACCTTCCTGCCTCTGCCTTCCTTGTGCTGGGATTAAAGGAAGACAAGCACTACCATGCCTGACCATCAAATTGTAATCGAATGCCTTTTGAATGTCCAAGCCAAGTTTTTGCTTGCTTTGCTTATCTCTGGCTCTGTTTCGTTGTACTTAGAGAATGTGCTCTGCATTATTTCACACTTATTGAAATTGATGGCTGTTTTTGTTGTGTTTTGCAGCCGGTCCGCTTGTGACTGTTCAAGGGATTCTGAGAAAGACACACATTGGGTTCACAGGGTGTGGAGACTGACACAAATCTAGTAGCTGGGTTCAATGAGTTACAATCTACAAGGTCACAGCTCTAATTTTAACAGGTGGTCAGCACAGCTAGTTGGCAGATGAGAAGAGAAGCAGCTGATGAGCATGGGGACTCTGAGGGAAGCTGGTGTGCTCCTTTAAGGCAGTGTCCTGGTGGTGCAGGGACTAGCTAGGGCCCTGAACTCAGTTGCAGACAAAGAAGCAAACACGGCGTAGACAAAAGAGCATCATCTTGCTCATGTGTTCCCAAGCTCTGATGCCACTGGACTCAAACCGCCGATGCTTGGCACACTCCCAGCTATGGTTTGCACGTCTTCTCTCAATTTAATCATCATTGTTGTGGTATTAAGATGTGGGCCCTTAAAGAGGTGTTGTGCCATGGGGAATCTGCTCTTATGAGCAGATTAATGCTGTTATCAACGGGAGTAGGTTAATCATCACGGGCATGGGCTCATGGGAAAATAAATTGGTTTGACATACATTTCTCTGTCTCACACATGCTTTCTTGCTTTCATACCATGTTATGACCAACACAAAGGGCCTTTGCCAGATGCTGGTACATGGTTTGCCCTTTGTAGTCTCTAGAACCTTGAGTTGAAATTCTGTTGTTTCTAAGTTACCCGCTCTGTGGCCTTCTGTCACAGCAGCCAAGAGTGAACTAATTCATTCCCTTTATATCCACACTGCACAGCGCCACGCAGTGACGTGGTCATAAGACCACCCAGTCCACCCAAAGCCCAGAGCAAGAATTCGTAGATGACTGAGCCAGCTCTGTAGCTCACAATAAGTGAAGAAGAAATAAACGTGTCCCCATGACCACAGTTGACAGAGGGCAGGAGGTAGTGCATTCATCAAATGCAGTGAGCGTGTATCATTGTTTCCACCTGCCCCGGCAGGCTTAGCCTGAGCTCTTCTCATCAGCTCGGTGGTGCTGGTGTCTCTGGTCTCAGTCTCTGCTGGTCTTCCCTAGACAAAATGCTTCCTGTTGGATTTGGCTAAAGAGGAGAATTTTCCTGGACAAAGTGTGGAGAGAGGTTGGTGTTGCAACCTTCTTGCTTAGTGCTGTCCCTTTGCACTGTCCCTAGACTCCAAGCCCTGTTTTCCACCCTTCTGCTCAGGAGGAGGGGTGGTACTTAACCCCCCCGGGCAATGTGATTGATGGCTTTTGTTTTTCCCTACTTCTAGTGAGAACCTTCTAATATCACCTTTCATATACTCGTTTTTTGTTTGTTTCTTTTTTCTTTTTTGAGACAGGGTTTCTCTGTGTAGCCCTGCCTAGCCTCAAACTTGCTTTGTAGACCAAGCTGGCCTCGAATTCAGAGATCCACCTGCCTCTGCCTTCTGAGTGCTGGGATTAAAGGCGTGTGCCACCACCACCTGGCTTATATACTGTCTTAACTACCCAGTTCCTTTGCTCTATTTCCTGTTGGACCTTAACTCATACAGAGTTGGTAAGAAATTCACAGATAATTCAGTCCTAATTTTTTAGCATTTGATTGCAACAGTGATGCACTCAAGGTCACAGGAAGTCATGGCTAACTAGAACTTCATCTAGGACCCTGGGGTTTCAGTCTGCCATTCTTTCTTTCTTTCTTTTTTTTTTTCAATTGTTCACACTTTTGGATCCAATTCTGTTACATATACAGGGTTGACTTATAAGCACAGAATAATATGAAAAATAATTCCAAGATTTGCCACCCCCTTCATTGGAATCAGGCCCAGCTAATCTGATCTTTTGAATCATTTTAGGAGAGTGGGAGGGAGGGAGGGAGGCATATGTGCACTGTTTCTCATTTAGATTCAACAGTCTTTCTTCTTTCTTATCTGTATTTTCTACTTTTTAAAATTAAGAAGTTAAAAAAAATAAATAATAAGACAGGGACATGCAAAGACCTTTGAGAAAAAATTTCAGTCAAAAACTTTTGGAGGGCTGGTTCGACAGTGCAGCAGGTAAAGGTGCTTGCTGCCCAGCTAGACAGCCCGGATTTGACCCGTGGAGCCTGCATGGTGGAAGGAGGGACCTGACTGCCATCAGTTGTCCTCTGGCTTTCACACATGTCTCCCCCTCCCCCACATACACATCCCCTCTGTGTGCTAGATTTTTCAAGTCTAAACAGTCTGTTCACTGGCATCCCTGTCCCTCCCCGCTGTGGGTCTGGCTTCTCTCCAGGGGTAAGAACAATAGCTTCTGATTTTAGCCCCTGAGCTACTCTTAGAATAAAATCTGAAGTCACCTGAGCACTATTCAAAGCTCATCCATTTGCTGCTCTGCACCTTCTGTTGGCTTCATGCTGAGCTGTGTTGAGTTCTCTGAGGCCCGGGGCCCATTCAGGCCTCTGGCATTTGTGTGTGCTGTTCCCTCCCATCAGGCAGCTACTTTTTACCTGCAGCTCGTGGGTTCTCTCTGAATCGCCTTTCTCATCTGTGTGTGGCCACTTTGCTCTCTGACCACGAGGTCTCAGTAGCTTGTGCTGAGGCATCTTGATGACAACATATCTCGGAGAAGTTCTTTTCTGGTGTGGCTATCAGGACCCCTTGTACTTGGATGCCCATTTGTTTTCCAAGATTTGGGAAATTTTGTTATTATTGTATTGAATAGATTGTTCTATGTTCTCCTCTTAATCTCAGCAGCTTCTCCCCTTGGATTCTTGGTCTCTTTCTCTGTCTTTTTAAATTTCCGTTTGTTGTATGGATGATTAGATGTAACATTTTCTCCATCCTGGATATTTTTGTTTCTATGTGGTCATCTTCTCTATTTTCTAGTGTACTTTTTATTTTCAGTATTTCAACTTTTTTTTTTTATAATTAGTTTCCTCGCTGGATTTCTCATCCAGATTACTGTTTCTCACCCACCACTGACTTCCTCATCTACCATGTTGGCTTTCTTCTCTAGGCCCTGAATTGATTTCCCTATGTCTGTCACCGGCTTGTTGATTCATTTGAGGTCATTGATCACTTCTACAAATAAGCTTTTGAGTTCTTCATCTGGCATTCGACCTGTTTCAGTCCTCAGTAGTCAAGGAGTTCTGATATTTTGGAGGGCTCATGGTGCTGTTTTTTTTATGCTGTGTTCCTGTGATGCAGTTTGCACATCTGTTGGCTGACTCTTCTGGTTTTATTGAGGGATCTTCCTAGTGAACAGCCTATTCTTTTTTTTAACTCATGGGCATGCGTGTTTGTGTGTGTGTATGTGTGTGCACATGTGTATGTAAACCTGAGGTTGACATCAGCAATCGTCTCTGGTTGCTCCCCACCTTCTTCATTGAGGTAGGCTCTCTCAAATGAACACACTTTGCCAACATGGCTAGTCTGGGAAGCTAACTTTCCCTAGAGATTCCCGGTCTTTGCCTTCAGAATACTAGAATTATACATGGGCTGCCACATTCACTTAGCATTTACGTGGGTCTGGGGGTCTGAACTCCAAGCCTCCTGCTCCTAAGTGCTTTGCCCCTTGCTCCATCTCCCCAATCCAAGCAGTGTGCTCTTGAAGCACCTTAGTTCCCAGTAACACTTTTGGACAAGGTTTCTGCTTCATGTCTCTAGCTGGAGAGCTGTATGTTTGGAACAGTGGAGGGCTCCCTTAGTTTCTCTAAGTCATCCTTGCTGGCTGGGTGAAAAAGCCAGGACAATTTCAGGAAGATGCCCAGGGCTCCACTTGGGTTATGAGACCCAGGGTTCCCTCAGCCTTATTCCCTGGTGGAGAGAGAGGGTTTCTGACATTTCCTTTCCACAGGGCTCAGGTCTTAGTGAAAATAGGGCCCCTTCTTGGTACCTCCTCCACCTTCCAAGTCTCCCATCTTCCAGCACAAGAACTGGATACTAGGGGAATATGTCAAGGTACACAGCATCTGAAAATAGTAGTGAGGGTCTGGGGAAATGACTGCAAAAATTGCTTCTGTTTCTTTTAGGTTGTTGATGATGATGACTGTGTTGTGTTTTGTGTGTGTGTGTGTGTGTGTGTGTGTGTGTGTGTGTGTGTGT